GCATGGGCGGCGGCTCTGGCTTCCCTTGCATACATCGCTCTAATATTTCCCAGGGTAGGTCTCAGCATCCAATCATAGCCCCCTGATTACCACTCAATAACCGCCCTCGCAGCTTCAACAAGAATGGAAGCTATATTCGCACCGCTCTCAACTCCCGCCCGGACCAAACGTCATCAAGACCGGCATCCGCAAGCCATGGCTCTGGTTCCAAGAACTAAGCAAGCAATATGGCGATGTTGTCTACCTCCAACTTGGCCCGACACCAACCATCATCTTGGGTTCCGCCCAGGCAGCATGGGACCTCCTCGAGAAGAAGGGCGCGATCTTTTCCTCCCGCCCGCGCTTCATCATGGGAGGCGAGCTTTTGTCCGGGGGTATGAGGGGCCTGATGGCACCGTACTCATCCTATTGGAGGCGCTGGAGAAAGCTGCTTCACAGTGGCTTCATGCAGCGGCAGAGCGAGACGTACCGGCCGATTCAGAGTCTCGAATCAAAGGTTCTCATGCATGAGTTACTTGTGGATCCAATCAACTTCAGAAGACACCTGGAGAGATATGCTGCTTCAGTGATCGTGACCGTCACCTATGGCAGGAGGGTTGAGGATGTGACGACGGATATTGTGGTGCAGCGGAACGCCGAGTCCATGGGACGTTTGACTTCCGTCAAGTGGGTGATTCCCATCAACAAGATCTGGGTTGTCTCTGACAGGTACCTTTAGCATTCCTGGCAAGTTCGCAGTCGAGCGCTACCCGGCACTCAAGTACTTACCCTCGTTCCTCGCCCCATGGAAAGCCGAGGTCCTAAAGCAAAGACAGAAAGACATTCAGCTGTACACCGAGCTCATGGATGAAGTTCGGGAAAAGGTAGCCAGAGGTAGTGCGCCAGAATGCTTCGCTAGACATCTCCTGGAAGAGCAAGCAAGCCTTGGCATGTCAGATCTGGAGATTGCATACACGGCTGGCTCACCTTTCGGCGCAGGTGTTGAAACTGTGAGTTCTCGGCACTATTCCATTTATTGATCTGAATCTTACAAGACAGTCCGCTGGCTCTCTTGCCAGCTTCCTCCTCGCATGCGTGAAATTCGGTCCCCGCTTCATCCCTCAAGCTCAAGAGGAGCTTGACAGGGTCGTCGGAAAGGACCGCCTTCCCGCGTTCGAAGACCTAGAGAACCTCCAATACATCCGGGCCATAGCATCGGAGACGCTGAGATGGAGACCGGTCGCGGTTCTCGGCGGTACACCTCACGCCAGCACGGCCGACTATATGTACAGGGGCATGTTCATCCCGAAGGGCAGCACAATCATCGCCCCTCTCTGGAGTCGTAAGCACAGTTCAGAGACGCTCACTTTTATCCGCACTAATACCTTTTAGTCCACCTAAATGAGTCGGACTTCCCGCAGCCGCACGAGTTCATCCCGGAGAGATTTCTCGAGGATCGTGAGTATCCGGGGTCCTTCGGCCACAGCGCCTTTGGCTGGGGTCGCCGGATCTGTCCAGGCATGCATCTCGGCTCTGCTTCGGTGGCAATCAACATTGCGCGTATCCTCTGGGGCTTCGATGTGAGGTCAGGGCAAGACGAAAAGGGGCGCGACGTTGATGTTGACATGTAAGTGAGATCTATCGGCTTGCTTTTCATGACTAACAGCGTTCTAGCTTCGCCTATTCTGACGGGTTCAACTCCAGCCCCCTGCCGTTTCCCTGCTCCATCGCACCCCGTTCACCACACCATGCGGAAATGGTCGAAAGGGAATATGAGGATGCACTGAAATCATTGGTAACTTACACGTCTGTCTCTAGTAAGATATCATGAGGAAACTCTGCTAGCCGGGCAGTGTCAATCATATACGCTTTTAATCTGTACATCCTGCATTTTCGGTACGTTAAAGTAATTAAGGTTTTCTCAGTCGTCGCCTCTAATCGCATATGTTGTCGTCTTCTATCGCCGTCGTCTATTGTCACTATCGTTACCCGTATCGTTTCATTCACTACTATCATCAATGTCGAAGTATTTGTTACGCTACGATTGAAGTTATAGGGGTTACTACCCGGCTCGCAAAGCTCATCATGAGTAGCAGCGTATACATCAGACAGGGACATACCAAGTCACGTCCACTCCAAACAATGCCTTTGTTCATTCAGCTTCCAATTTGACACTGTTGCTACCTGATATCTACGCTAGCTGCACATCCTCAAATGTAAAGGGTATCTTCCAGTATCTCAAATCATCAAACTCGGCCTCGGAGATGTACTCCCTCGTATTCAACGTCAAAGCCCAGTCAACATCAGGTCGACTTGACGCAAACGATCTCGCGCCAACAACCGTACCATCGCGCTCAGAATACACCGCCCGGCCACCAGTTCCCGCAACAGCATGGGATCCAATAAACCTCGCAACTGTACTTGCGCTGGCCGCCAAAGAGAACCCGCCCATGCACTCCTCCTTGATTGCACCGTCGCCTCCGTACGGTCCCGGGACAAGCCGATATGCGTCGGGATCCACGGGGTCGTAGCCCGTGTACTTGCTCTCCTGGACGATGCGGTCGTCGACGTGCTTCGCCCCGTCCGTTTCGTACAGCCTGACGTCGAGGTCGCCGAGAATGTTCTGCTTGAGGAAGTCGAGATACGGGACGCCGGTGACGTTGCTCACGACGTAGCTCGCCAGCATGGTGCCGTAGTTGGAGTAGGAGTAGTCCGTCCCCGGCGCGAAGTCGAGCGTGCGCGTGAGCTGGTACTCAATCACATCACGCAGCGTCGCGGCGCGGGTACCGTTGAAGAGCGCAAAGGCGATGTCTCGGAACATGAAGCCTGGGTCGCCGGACTTGTCACGGTTATAGCCGGAGGTGTGCCTGAGGAGGTGGTCGATGGTGATCTCGTTCGCCCGCTCGTCAACCGGCTTGTATCCGAGTAAGGGGTAGACAGGGGTGGAGTAGTTCAGCTTCCCGGCTTCGATGAGGTTGTAGACGGCCGCGTGGACGAAGATCTTGCTGACGCTGGCGAGCAGGAAGATGTCATCGGGCTGCACAACGGCGCGGTTGCTCTCGGCCCAGGTGTAGCTGCGCTCGGCGATGGCGGTGCCGTTCAGCGCAATGGCAATCTGGGCTTGGCGGACGCCATTCTTCGTCATCCAGGTCTGCATGGTCGAGTCAAAGGCTGCCATTGCAGCGTCGTTGTCTTTGAATCCGGTGAACGATCCGGTGGCGGACCACTTTCGGGCCTCAGGGGTGTCCTGCTCGGCAAAGATGACTGAGAAGCGGACGTCTGCTCCCGAGACGCCGCCGTGGAGGTCGATCGGGTACAAGCCCTGCGCCTTCTGCGACTCAATCTCGGCAGCGAGCTCAGCTCCGGTGAGGCCATCCAAAGCTACCCACTTGCCAACCGCAGTATCGACGAACTGGGGCGTGATGACATGGTCGTCAGACAGGAAGAGACGAGAGGGGCGCCAGAAGCGTTTGGCAAGCTCGGAGGAATAGATTTCCGCGTAGTTAATGGAGTAGTTCGTGGTGTAGAAGATCGTGGAGAGCTGGTTGCCGACATTCTCGTGGCCGAGGATGCAGTACCTGCGGTCTCCGGGGGTGCCGTACATCCTGAAGTCTTTCACCAACATCGGAATGCCGTTCGTGGCGTTGTCGTATGCGTATGGGGTTTTCATGCCGCAGAGCTGTGCCCAGTTGGTGACGTTGACCTTCTCCATGACGCCCGCGAAGACGGCGCTGCCGGCCGGTCCTGTGGCGGAGACGTGCGTTGAGACGTAGCCCTTGGCCTTCCACGAGTCGAACCACGAGTTGTAGGTTGATTCGTCTGCGTCGTAAATCACTTCGAAAGGGTTTCCGTCGCGCTTGATCCAGACAGCGGCGTAGTTTGCGTTCGGTGCGGTGCCGTATGCGCTTAGGGAGATCATCCGGTAGCCGTCCGCGGTCAAAGACTTGGATCTCTCGCCATGGGCCGCGCCATTGAGGTTGAAGTATGTCTGGACATCGGCGGAGCTGTCATTGGCGACCCGGCGCTCAGTCGGAAATGCGAACGTGACGGAGCATATTGAAAGACAAGAGGTCAAGAGACCCATGAACGAGGGCGTGTACATGTTCAACGATCGAAAGCTGCCCAAAGGCGAGCGAGGAGGGTGGTGTTGACGAAGAGGGAGCAACAACGCTGCTGACTTCCACCAGCTGCAACCTCGAATGTGTCTCTTCCATGTTTTTATTCAGCATCAAGTGCTCTTGATAGAAATCCACACCATCCCTATTCTTAGAGTGACAATTTAGGTTGTGGTGATCATCTTGCGATACGAGATGAACCCCGTCCATGCCCCCACAACTTGGCGCTCGGCGAACCGCGCCCAAACCCTGGCCCCCGGTTTAAGCACCCTGCAAGAACCGGCTGAGCCCGCTGTTTGAAGAAATCCTCGCCTCCTGGCAGGGGATTCGATCTCTGGAAGCATGATTTTTACCTCATGGGCCCTCGGTTCGATCCTTCCATCCCCCGTATTCCAAGGCCCTGGGTACAACACGGTATGGCCGGTTCTTTGGTAACGCCACTTGTGTGGATTTGTCCTCGGCTGGATTCGCCGTTGGAGCCGAGGGAGGATGCGACCTTGGACTTGAATACGAGTATAAACCAGCTTCCCCTGTTGAGCGTAGTTCGTCTCGCGGGTTAAACTCAACGTCGCCGTTTCACGGCCACGTGCGTAATGCGCTGTTAACACATGCCCACCGGCAAACAACATAGGCTCCCGATCTGAACAAGTTTAGGTTTCGTGGGATATATAAATTAGACACGCTTCTTTTCTCAGCCAAGATACTCAGAAAGTCTCGGGACAAAAGGCAAGGTGATCCCACTCACAGGGATCAAAAATAAGGTCCATCCAGGATTCGAACCTGGGCTTACGGAACATTCCAACTCGTAGAGAAGTCAGAATCCGACGTCCTAACCAACTAGACTAATAGACCGAAGGAAAGAAAGCAGCAAGCAGCATCTCGGAGCGGTCCTCGTGAGAGGGGGCAAGGTCCATCCAGGATTCGAACCTGGGCTTACGGAAGGGAACCGATGGTTTTCATCATCAGAATCCGACGTCCTAACCAACTAGACTAATAGACCAACTGAGCCGAAGCTGCTGTGCTGTGGAGGCCGGTCGGGGACAAGCAGAATATGACGTCGCGAATTTGCGTGTGTGAGAATTTGCGCGAGCCCTGGGTGGGTATCGCGGGCGGGGATCGTGACGGGACCGGGTGCCGGATCGGAGACCGGGGATGGGGCGGAGGGGATATCCCGGTCAACTTCCGACGACGGACTTGTTGTGGCTTGATTGCAGTTGTTGGCGAGTCTGGAGCGGTGCGTCCGTAGCTTGACAGGAATTGGGTTGAATTTGATGTAATCTTGAATAGGTCACATCTCAGAAGCAAATCGATTCAGTTCGTGATCTTCGATAATAATTGATGAGCACTACAAGTTTGAATAATGTTGAAGCCGGCCTCTGGCCATGGTTCATGCCATATCTACAAGATATCTCCTATATACAATCTCAAACCACGCACAGCATGTACAATCCAATCACCTCATCCCCCTTCATTCCACCTCCCCCTATCCCTAGTTCCCCAATCTAGCACCCGCTAGTCTTCACACCCTCCGCAACGCAAACCTTCCCATCAGGCCCCTTGCCCGTCAACTTCGGCTCCGCGCCACTACTATTCCCCTCAAACATCTCGCACACCTCCGCGCCGCCCAGCACGCACGAGTTCTTAATGTCCACCCCGTCGCCCAGGTTGCCGTTGACCGCGGCCAGCACCTTCCCGCCGTCGAGCCGCACGTTCTCGAACGTCGCGTGCCGCGCCGTCTGCGACTTGCAGTTGCCGCAGCTGCGGTACATCTTGCTGCAGCTCTTGCAGTAGAAGTCCTTGACCGCGACCGTGCCCCCGCCGTTGTGCTGCAGCACCTTGTCCTCGGCGTTCTGCGCGCCGCCGCCGTTGACGAAGGAGGTGCCCGAGGTCTGCTTGAATGTGATTGCGTCTTCGCAGACGTCTTGGAACCAGCTGCTTGGTGTTAGCTCGGGAACATGTTGTAGGGCTGTGGTAGGACTCACACGTTGTTGATGGTGCAGCTACCAAGGCAATGAATGCCCTCGCCATTATTAGGCCCAATCACAACATTGCTAATCGTAGCCCCCTCCTCGAGAATGAACACAGCATCCTTGTTCCCGCCCTCCGTCTGTCCCTTGCACGTGCTCGGGCTCCGGTCCCAGAGCTGCATCCCGCCGTCGAACGACTGACCCGCCGCAATAGTCTTGACAGCGGCGATGTTCTGCGAGCCCTTGGGGGTGGGAAACGTAGTCTTCAAGCCACCGCCGCCCGAGGTCGTCCCGTTGTTCGCGGCCCCCGACCCAGATCCAGTCCCAGAGTGGCCCGTTGAGATGGGCACATGGGGCGCGGTCTTGGACGCCGTGTGCTTCGCCTTCTTGCTTGCCTTGGGGCTGCCGCTCTTGGAAGCTGGGGACGCGAGGGCAGTAGCGGCGAGGGCCAAGAGGAGGATGTTTCGGAGAGACATTGTGGAGGGGTCGTAGATGGAGTGGGAAACAGGTCTAGCGTCTTGGCTGTGAGGTTGAGATGAAATGAAGAAAGGCTTGGCCGCGCAAGCTATGTGGGCAACGTGGAGAAGCAGAGGCGGGATGAGACGATAGACCAGCTGTCAAGTTTGAGACGAACCAGCCGTGTTGAAGGTGATGAGACGAATAGTTGTTCAAATCTTTTGAGCTCTTAGAAGCTGATGATGATTTTAAGATTCCAATTCCCAAAGCTCGAGAGAACTCTATTCTGTTTATATACCAAAACTCCCATTCACAACTGCCCTCGCGAACCCCTATACCACTATCCTCATAAGACAAAACTCAATCGCATCTTGGCTTCGAAAAAGAGACCTCCAAGCCAACCCGGGGCCCGAGCTCTCCAGCATCCTGCCCCCATTCTCCATCAAACATGCTCTTCCACAGAGATATATCAAAAGTCCCCAGTGTAATATCTATCCCAGGGCGACGGTGCGCTTCACGTTGAATGAGGTACGTGCGTTCTCAAAGATCGTCCGAAACTTTGTCGTCAACTAAGCTTTTTCTGACAGATCCATCTGGTCCGGGATAGATTGCCCTTTAAGCAAAAGACCACCAATCTCGTGTGCTGCTGCTTCCACATCGAACATGGGCTATCGATGATGGCTCTAACCTGTACCATCTGATGTCGGCCATGCGGCGGGGGTCTGCCCTGTGTAGAGCCGCACATGTAAGCAACCGTTCATTTACTTCTGGTATGGCCCTGACACGGACTTTCATATGCTTCAAACGGCCGTCCTTGTGGGGTTTGGCTCTTATGCATGCTGTATTTCGGTTGAGATACCGAATATCGTTCCTCGTAGCTGCGATAGAAATGAAGGAGCCTTTCCGATACCGTATCTATGGCCCCAGCATTGACCAAGCCGAGTTTTAAAAGTGAATGACACGAGCAGCCTTTTGCATCTCTGAGTGAAACAAACAGACGTAGCGACTATTAGCATGACCCGAGAACCTCGGAGCAACACCGGATTAACGATTTCAGACTTGATTGAAAAATATCTACTTGAAATCAGCGCCGAATTATTCCGTTTTTCCAGACGCTTGTATTAACACAGCACCCCGGGTTCTCCGGGGATGGTGCGGCGAGACATCAATCACCTCCACTGCTGTTGCGGCGGCCTCTGCTGCCTGTGTTGCTGTTCCGCCTTCAACTGTCTCTCAAACCTCTTTCCGTCCGCCCGGGCATCCTTCTCCCCGTTCCCTTTCCCATTTCCTACTCTTTTAAGTTCTTCCTCTACCATGCCCACTGCTTCAGCAACAACATCATCGCCTCTCCGCCATGTGTACAGGGCGACTCCATGCTGCTCCAATACTTCCTGCGCACGCTGCAGACGGCGCATCCATAATTCGTGCTTCCTGTTGGGGTATGTTGGTCCCATCGTCGGAGACCCTAACGTTGGAGATGTAGCTCCCGACTTGAGGCTGTTCGACTTGGTCTTAGCGAACGCGGGCGGCTGAGGACCGGCAGACGGTGGGAGGGCTTCAAAGTCGATGTCGTCGTTATTTGACAGTCTCTGCCGATTGAGCGTCCGCGGGCTGAGGCTCCGGGCCCCGGACGGGGTGTCCCTGCGGCGCGGAGGTGGTGGCGGTGGTGGGACTTTGAATGCTTTGCTCATGTCCTCTGGGGTAGTCGACGCTGGTATCTTTGCTGTTTTGGGTAAGCTGCTGGTGCTACCAACCGTCTGTTGCGATGCGTTGTGTATTTGCGACAGCGGATGAGGGGCGGATCGGTCAGCGGATGGCTTTCTCGACCGCGGCGCAGGCGGAGGTGGAGCAGAACCGCCATTAGACCCCAGAGTAGGCACCTTCGTGTCTGAAGGAGCACTGCGAAGGGCTGCTGGCTTGACTGGACGAGGCGGTGGAGGTTTCCGAATAGCAAGATCCGACGTGCTCGCACTTGAGGTAGGTTTTGGCCTTGCCTTGAGTTGAGCAAGCGCAGCCGCGTCGTCCAGATTCGCCTGTTCCGGCTCGTCCGAGAAGTCAATCAGATCGCCCATGACGGGTCCAACTGTCTTGATCTCGCCGCGTGGTGGCAGACCAGGCCTGTTTGCCGGCTCGTCGCTCTTGTCCTGAAGTCGGATTGTTGGGGCCCTCTGGCGAGCGGCGCCGTCGAATGATGAATCAAAGTAGCCGCTCTGTTCAGGAGTCGTGACATCACGGATAAACACTGCAATGATTCGTCCTGGATGGGTCTCGACCAGCTCAGTGTAGACTTCCAGATCAGCCTCGCCGCTGTCGCCCACCAATAGGAACTTCCGCTCAGGGAAATCCTTCATCAGCCTCGTAAGTGTGCTCTTCTTCCTTTCGGCCACCGGCTCGAAGATGCCCTGGAGCATACCGCTATACTGTTTGAGATGGAGAGACCCAGGAGGCAAGCCGGCAATCATAAAGTAGCTTGCCAAAACTGGGAATAACTGCCATGGGCTGTTGGAGCAGTAGTGTATGCTGACGCCCATCGCGTGCAGCTCGTTGTACCACTCCTTGACGCCCTCGACCGTCAAGTCCTTCAGCTCGCGGATAAACGTATTTCGGAAGATCTCCTTCGCGCCGCCAGAGATATTGGACCTCTTGATGGTGTCGTCGATATCGCTAATCAGACTAACGCCCCTTGGTTCAATGATCTTGACTTCTTGAACTGCCGACAGGCTTTGGTTGGCTAGGACTCGGACATGTGTCGGAACGAAATCCAAGGCGGCTCGTATGACAAAGTGGCCGGCATCATTGGTCTGCACCGTCCGCGAAGCCGACTTCTCATCGTTGTAGAAGAATATGGTGATGGGAAGCTGGATCAGGGGTGTCGTCATGAATGGCGCTATCCTAGCCATGAGGTTCGCGTTTGCGACGGATAATTCAGCCTCCGACAGCTCGTTGCCGTTCGTGTACTGCCTAGCTGGCATCTTGGGCGACCCCGGGGCTGTCATGGGCGTCCGGGTGCCACTGCGGGATCTTGACCTCGCGGGATATATGCTACCGGCATCATCGTCGTCCTCCTCTCGTGCCGCTTCGCTGAAGCCACCACGATTTGCCACGCGCCTCTCCTCCTGGCCTCTTTTCTCAATCTCTGCCGCCTCTTTCGCAATTTTCTCCTGCTCCCTCCTCTCTTCGTGGGACTGGTGAAGCGCCCCTAGCGAATCCGAGGGAGGGGCATCCTGCCTGGGTGCGGGGATGCCGCTCAACTGGCGCGCGAGCCCAATGAGGATCCGATTGCGTCTAGTCATGGGCCCTTTGTGCGGCGAGTAAACCCATCCTCTAACGTCGATATCCACGATTGCCCTCTCGTCTTCGTTGCGCTCCCACTCTTGCCTCCAGTACTCCGAATCTCTAATAGCCCCGTGTGGTTCATTTGAGATGTAGTCGTTGTCGTCGCCCCAATCTTGCTTGGTGTGTCGTTTCGCGTAGGACGGAAAGATGACCATCTGATCGTCGCCTTGCACCGTAATGGCAACATCCGGGAATGATCCGGGGATCGTCGTCCTCGGCATGCCGTCGTCTGCATCAAGCG